TTCTCCATCCAATCTTCCAGATTTCTAAGGGATTTAAGAGGGGTTTTGAGTAGAGATTTCATCTAAAGCATCCTAAGGTAAGGATTCATGCTTTAGATGTGTGTTTCTTATAAGTGTAGTGAAGTCATATTTGGTTGTTGCTGTCCTTGGGTTGTTTTGAGTTGTAGAGGAAACAAGACCACAAAGGGAAGGAAAAGTGCTAAAGAAGTCATCTTTGCACAAGGTAAGTAAATCCAACCAAGTTAAGTTTTAAAAGTTTTGAGTAGAAATTCATTTAAACTATGTATGTATATGTTATACCTACTGAAAATTGAGATGAGATGTGTGCTTGTCCTAGTAGTTGGGTATGATTAAATTTGAGAAGTGTTTTTGATGGGAAATGGAGTTTGAGATGAAGTTTGAGGGATGTTGTAAACCTTTTTGGAAGTGCTTTTCTTGACAGGGATTATGAGTATTTGAGGGAGTTTTCCCCCATTTTGATGGCTGGAGAATGAAGTATAGTAGTAAATTTTAGTAGAGTGTTTATATGCACATGAGATGTTTGATGAAATGCCTAGGTGAAATCTACCCTGTCACTGCCGTAACTTTCTAAGTAATGTTTGGGTATCTTACGGACTGAACTGGGCTGGACCAAAACATAGAAGTTATAGACCTGTTTCTAAGCTTTAAAACGAGACTATAACCGTAGCAATCCGAGGTGTATAACAAAAGATATGGCCTTTTTAGTGTGACTTGCAGATGACTGTTTTGGGGAAATCTTGTATTTGGCATTTCATTAGTGCATTAGTGAGCATGAGCTAGTTATACACTTGAGAAGTAGCTTGAGATTTAGTAGAGAATTTGAGTATAAGCTACCTTAAGAGTTAAGAGAAAGAGAATAGAGTAGGTGTGCGATGGGGAACCCGTGAGTAATGGGTAGAGTATTCCGGCATGTACGCCGCATGAGAGAGAGCGGCATGAGATCGATAGAGAAGTGGTGTAGCCCGTGAGAGTGCATGCAGATGAGGGCTATACCCAAGTACCCAAGAGAGAGATTATAGACTCACATGGCCAAGGGTTCCGAATCCATGCATAACCGAGTCCATCGGCTAGAATAGTAGAGGTCACGTAGAGTGGGAGCGAGTCCCGGTCGTGCCCCCGGTAAGATGGGGTCGTACTTACTAAAGAGAGGTAATAGAAAAGAGTTCTAAGAGAAAGAGAAAGAGAAAAAGAGAAAAGTACCCAAGAGAATTGAACGAGGATTTGTAAGAAAGAATTAGAGAGAGGGGTTACGGGGCTAGCATGAGTAGAGGATTTACTTACTGAGCATTATTTTAGTGCTCACCCCGTTGTTTTCCTATGTTTTGCAGGACCTAGGTAGGACACGGTCGGATGGGATGTCCCGGCGTTCGAGAAGGAGCGGTTACACTGTCCCTTATGTTTTTGATGACTTTTGTATATGTTATACATTTTATGTAAAAATGTATATGTTTGTAAAATATATAAATATATTTAATAAAAGAAAATTTTGGGCCCAATTTCTTTATGTTATTTTATATGTATTTCATTATAAGCTTTTGAGTAGTAGTGACTATTACAATTAGATACCCAAATATCAAATATTTATGGGAAAACAAATATACACCCATGATCATCCCCTAATTAATGTTCATCCATCACTTTAATAAATATTAATTCATTCAAGGGCATATAAATAAATATTTATGCAAGTTGCAATATTTATAAATAAAGGACTTCATGTAATAAATACATAAAAATATGTCATCATTGAACCAAGGGTACATGCATGATTTTACTACCCTTAAAAATATAATATCATTATATTATGCATCACGTGAATATAAAATATTTTATATTATCCATCTTATGAAATAACCTCTCACATCACATTCAATCAAATAAAAAAAATTGTAAACCATCATGATGCACCGATTTTTACTCAAAGATGAATCAACTTGCATTCACAATACAATCTAAGTCAAATGCATTTATAGACTATTATATCACATATAACACTTTCAAATATGCATTCAAAATACATTATGCATTTGAATCAGTTTTGATCGAATTCATCCCTTCTCAAAATCATCAAATTTGCATCAAATATGCTTATATTACACATACAATGATCATATGAATGTGATATATTCATATTTAATAACAATGCATCAAGATGCTTCAAAAACAACATGCATGTTACATATGACTTTAAGAACAAGAAATTTTGTATTCTTAAAAAAAAAAAAAAAAAAAAAAAAAAAAAAAATTTCATACAAGCATGTTAATAAGCATGAATATATCCATCATCAAATGTATTCAAAATACACAAGCTCAACATGCACTCAAAACCAAGTGACAACCAAGTCCAAACCAAGCCATTTTTCACTAGAAATGTTAACATGCTCTGATACCATTGTTAGGATTGATGCATTTTGGACATGGAAATGGAGAGAAAATGATGATCAAGATCATGAATACAAGGTAGAAAACAAACATAACATCAATGGCAATTTTTAAAGAAAAAGAATAGTATATTACCTACTCCTTTGCTATTAAAAGCTTGATGTTGAAACTTAGAGTCTAGATTCTTCAAAAGAGAATGAAGAAACTCAAAATGAAATCCACCCAAGCCAAAGATGACACAGAGCCCCGAGAAAGTGAGAGAAAGTGAGAGAGTGCTTTTTGTTTTCAATTGTTGCAATTGAATTAAAATGGTATAATACTTAATTTATATACCATGTGCACAAAGTGTAATTTTAAATTGTCAAGGGAAGTCCTCAAACAATTTAAAATTAATCTTGGAAAAGAGCATTTATGTCAAGTCCTTGGTTTTATGGTTATTCATAATTAGCCCAAATTTGAATCCTATTAATTATTCTAACTCTTTAGAATAAAACCATTGCACTTTTGTCCCCATTATTGAATCTGATTCAATAATAATATTTAATAAATCCTTATTACCCTTGGTTAGTGCTAGCTATCCATAGATAATCATTTCTCACCAATACATTATTTTGGATGCAATTGTTTACGTCCGAACATCATTAATCCGATCAATGATATGTATTACTCTCTCTCCTTGAGCTTGGTTTTATGTGTGACCATTTTGGTTCACTGTGATCTAGCCATCGGCCCAATATCGGATTCTGATATGCTTTTTTATAACTCTTTATAATCAAAACTCCCACTGATTATGGTAGACATCTAGCAATGTTCCATAACCCCTAAACCACAATGAAGTGTAAACTCCAATGAACCTTTTCTGATCGTATATACCGTGTAGTAAAATCCCTCCGTTATCTAATCCTAATTAAGAATGGATTATGGTATGTTAAAACCCTTAATGAATATGCTTATACTTAGTGGTTTATAGGTATCATTTGTGGGAAATTAGGATTAATTCGCATGAATTAACTTAATTGTTTCATAAATGCACTTTTTAGGATCACAGGTATTTTTATTGTGTTTTTAGGGAATAAGGCTTAAAAATAATATTCGGATAAGAGATAATGTTCGTGAGAGAATTTGAGACTACTGGAAACAAACGGATCAAGAATCGGAGCTGAATTGAAGAAGTTATGGAACTTTGAAGTAAAAAGGAAATTATAGATTACGCTCCAGTTTTAGTATGTCTCAGTGTTTCGACAATAACTTGAGCTGTAAATATTTTATCAAGATGATTCTTGAATATTTGGAAAGATTATTCAAAGGGCTAAATTTCATATGCTTAACTCTTTTCCATATTTCATCGTTATCATGCTCAAAGATCACCATCTCTAGAGTGCTGGAGAATGATGCAAGGTTAGAAGAGGAATTGGACCATGCTGCAGCACTATGCCACAACACAATTAGTCCAAAACCAACCATGCCGCAGCATTGTGCCACAACACACTTTGTCCAGAATCAACCATGCTATAGCACAGTGCTGGGGCACAGTCATGACAACTGGAAATTTTTCTTCTGTTTTTTACTAGGAAAACAGGGTTCAAGAGTCCTAAACTAACTAGAATTAAGGAAAACAAATGGAACAACGGAGGAACAAGTGAAGTTAAGGGAGTTCCCATTTTCTTGAGCGTAGAGCGCTAAGGAATGGCTTTATTAACTACCATCTGGGACCATAACTACTTGGAATGAGATGAAGAGGCTTTTCTTGGAGAAGTATTTTCCTGTATCTCGAGCCACACTCATTAGGAAAGAAATTTGTGAATTCGGTAATACAATGGGAAAAAGTTATATGAATATTGACAAAGGTTTAAGAAATTGTGTGCTAGCTGTCCACATCATCAAATAAGTGAGGGATTGATGCCAATGGAGAGGAGTATCATAGATGCAACAAGTGGAGGAGTGTTAGTTGATAAAACTCCTATAATTGCAATTATGGCGACAAACTCTCATTAATTTGGTACTCGATCTGATCCACCACCCTAGAAGGTAAATGAAGTGGGGATATCCAATATTCTTAAGCAACAATTGAGTAATTTGACTGCACTTGTGCAACAAATTGCAATTGGACAAGTGAAGACATGTGGAATTTGCTCCAATGCAGGACATCCTACCGATATATGTCCTACCCTTCAAGAGACAGATTCAAAATAAGCAAATGCCATGGGAGGATACCAAGGACAACAAAGGCAAAGGTGTGATCCATTTTCCAATACCTATAATCCAGGATGGAGGGACCACCCTAACTTAGCTATGGAGGAAATCAACAAGCTACTATCACTAATAATCCACCCAGTTTCCCTTACCCACAAGCTCCACAACCATACTAAGCAAAACCCCAAAATGTTTCCCAACCTCAAGGTAAGTCTTTGGAGGACTTGGTAAACTCATTAGCAACTAGCTCTCTTCAATTTCAGCAAGAGAATCTCAAGTTCCAACAAGAAACAAAAATGTCAATCAAGAATTTGGAAAGCCAAGTTAGTTAATTGGCTACTACCGTTGGAAGATTAGAGGCGCATGGGTCTAGAAAGCTTCCTTCCCAACCTTTGGTTAACCCTATGGAGAATGCTAGTGCCATTACTTTGAGAAGTGGTAGACAACTTGAGAAGACTCACAAGAAGCCAAATGATGAGAAAGAAGTTGGAGATGAGTGATTCAAAGTGGAACAAAGTAATCCAAAAGTGCAGACCAACCGATTCTTCCAATGCAAAACATCTTCCTAAGGTACAATCTAAAGTTCCTATTAATACTTAAGAACCTCCTTTGCCTTTTCCTAGCAGGTTTGCCATATCAAAGAAGGAGGAACATGAGCAAGAAATTTTATACACTTTTAGAAAAGTACATGTCAACATTCCTTTGTTGGATGCAATAAAGCAAGTGTTGCATTATGCGAAATCTCTTAAAGAATTGTGTACCAGCAAGAGAAAACTTAGGGGAAACGAGGTGGTGAGTGTGGGAGAAAATGTCTTAGCAGTTTTGCAAAGGAAGCTTCCAACAAAGGGCAAAGATCCGGGTAGTTTCACCATACCATGCATCATAGGCAACATAAGGTTTGAGAAAGCAATGTTAGACTTAGGTGCTTCTATTAATGTCATGCCTTACTCAATTTATCTTGATTTAAATCTTGGTACTCTTAAATCGACCAGCGTAGTTATTAAACTCGCTGATCGATCTAATGCCTATCCAAAAGGAGTTATGGAAGATGTTTTGGTGCAGGTAAACGAGCTTGTTTTTCCAATGGATTTCTATGTGCTTGACATGAAAGATGAAACAACTGTGAAAACTATGCCATTGCTTTTAGGGAGACCATTCATGAAAACAGCCCTTACGAAAATAGATGTGCATAATGGGACGTTGACAATAGAGTTTGATAAGGAAGTCATTCAATTTAACATTTTGATGCAATGAGGTATCCTAATGATGACAATGATTGCTTTTCCATTGATGTACTTGACTCTTTAACATAGCAAATGTTCGAGCTTAAGGGTAAAGATCCATTGGAAGTGGCAATATGGAATGGGCTGTCAACCGAGGAACCTCAAAGTTTTAACGAAGACGTGGAGTTAGGAGAAGAGCTAAATGAAACTATAGGAATGTTGGATGAGCTTCCAAAGAAAAATCCAAGGTATGAAATCTCCTATATTTCTCTTCCCATATCTAATCAGAAACTTTTACCTTCCATTGTGTAGGTCCATACCTTGGAGGTTAAGCCTTTACTAAGTCATCTCAAGTATTTATACTTGGGAGAAGGAGACACATTGCCCGTGATTGTAGCAGCCAACCTTTCAAAGGTGTAAAAAGAGATACTTGTTCGTGTGTTGACAGAGTACAAAACGGCAATTGATTGGACGATTGCTGACATTAAAGGAATAAGTCCTTCCATGTGCATGCACCGCATATTATTAGAGGAAGGATCGAAGCCTACAATAGAAGCGAAAAAACAGTTGAATCCATCAATGATAGAAGTAGTGAAGAAGGAAATAATCAAGTTGTTAGATGTTGGTGTGATCTACCCAATTTTTGACAGTAAATGGGTTAGTCCAGTCCACGTAGTTCCTAAGAAATATGAAGTAACCATGGTAAAGAATGAAGATAATGACTTAGTTCCCACTCGCATTCAAACGGGATGGCGAGTGTGCATAGACTACTGCAAGCTCAATGCCACAACATGCAAAGATCATTTTCCTCTTCCATTTATCGATCAAATGCTTGAACGTTTAGTGGGCCATTCTCACTATTGTTTTCTTGATGGATTTTCATGTTATAATCAAATTTTGATTACACTGGAAGATCAAGAGAAGGCAACATTTACATGCCCCTTTGGCACTTTTGCTTATCGACACATGCAATTCGGCCTTTGTAATGCACCCGCCACCTTTCAAAGGTGCATGGTAAGTATTTTCTCCGATTACATAGAGAACATTATAGAGGTATTTATGGATGATTTTATGTCGATGGGAACTCATTTGATAATTGTTTTAAGTAATTTGACATTAGTTCTTAAAAGATGCATAGAAACTAATCTCGTTTTAAATTGGGAAAAATGCCATTTTATGGTAAATCAAGGCTGTAACAACTGCTGTATAATTACTACAATGCATGCATAATTACAAAAGAAAATTGGGCCCAAAACTTTCTTTTCATTATAAGTCGTGCGTCTTTTATACACAAAGAGTATTGTTTACAAAAATTCATTTTAAAAGACAAAACAGGGGAAACAGTGCAGCTATTGCTCCTTGCTTGCCGACGCCCCTCCGACTGCATCAACACCTAGATCCTGCATCCACAAAGGAAAATAACGGGGTGAGCACAAAATAATGCTCAGTAAGTAAAACCCTCTATCTGTCTGTCCCCGTATGCATAACTCTTAATTCTTTCCTTATACTATTTCTGTTTCTACTAAACATCATGGCCTCATCTTACCGGAGGTACGGCCGGATGGCGTTCACACAGCACCATCTCACTCTCCATGACTATCGAGTGGAATTCACACAGTACCAACCCGTTCTTAGTGACTACCGAGTGGGGATCACAAAGCACCTACTCGGTTTTTCCCTACTATCGGGTGGAGACCACCTAGCACCTACCCGTTTCTCATGACTTTTGGGTAAACGTCACCAAGCATTAACCCGTCTCTAGTCACTGTCGGGTATGGTCACAAAGCTCAACCCACTTCTACTAATGTTGAGATGATCACAAAGCATCAACCACTTATCTAATAACTACCGGTGGTGGTCACAAGCACCACCCGTTTCTACTACTCATCGGGTGACGATCACAAAGCATCGACCCTCTCTAAGGGCTGTTCGGTGGTGATCACAAAGCATCAACCCGATTCCCATAACTGTCGGGTGAGATCACAAAGCATCAACCCATCTCTACTACTCTTCTAAATCACTCTATTCTAGCTTTTCATTCTCTCTACCTTAGCGTATTTGCATCCACCAAGCTCTTTACTCATGAGTAATTGCATACACAAGTTTCCTACATTTCTTAGGTCACTTTTCAATGCACAATTAGTGCCTATGGATGGTTCATCTCCACAACAACACTATGAAATGCCAACATGCAATTTGTCAAATTAAGGTTCACTACTCACACTCAAACCTCTATTAGGCATTTCATCAAACAACCAAGTGCACTATAACTCTACTATGCAATGATTCTAAAACTTTTTCTAACCATCCAAAATGGGGAGAAACCCCTTCACATAACCACAAACCTGCCAAATAAAACACTTCCAAAAGGGATCCACAACACCCCTTCATTCCATCTCAACCTACCTTTCCAACCCACAACTCTTTCTTATGTTTGCAAGGTATAAACAATCACAAGGCATAGAAATCTCTATTTAAGCCCCATACATGGCATATCACATGTATATCACATACTACATCATTTCTATCAAAACCCTAATCAGAAAATTCTTAAATCTCAACTTGGGTTGGATTTACTTACCTTGTTATGGAGAGACTTCACCAACTCTTCCTTTCACTTGTTTTGCTTGACTTTTTCTCTACTTTTAACCAAAGAACAAAAACCCTCAAACTTCAATATAACTAAAAACTCACAAGTTTCACAACTTAAGCAGATCCTTACCTTAGGAAGCCTTAGGTTGATTTTCTACCCCAACTCACTTCAAAAACCCCTTGGAACTCCTTGATCAAAAGAAAGAGAAGTTGAGAGGAACAAGAATGGAGAGTTGCGTTTTTGAGAAGAAGAATGAGGGGTTTGCTAACTCTTAATTCCTTTTAATGAAATTTATACCCAAGCATTCCCATTTTGCCCTTACTCTTCTTTGGGAAATCCATCTATATCCTTTGATTCATTACAACCACACCCCCATATCAACATAATCTCCATGAAAAATCCTTACATTTTACTCCCCACTTTTCCTGCTAATTAGGGGTAGAATGGTCAAATTGCCCTTAGGGAAAAAAATATCTAAAACTCAACAAACATTTTAATCGGCCTGTCGCTGCGGCGAAGAAACTTCTGTCGCCACGGCGAAACTGTCCAGAGAGTTTCCCGTGGTTTCAACACATCTTCGCCGCGGCGAAGATTCTTCTTCGCCCTGGCGAAGCTTGGCACACTAAACTTCTTCTATTTTCAACCAATTTCAGGGCAAGCATTCAACACAACACTCAATCAAACAATATTACCAAAAACCAACTCAAAAGTGAGCGAAAGGAGAAACAATAACTACGTACCTCAGGTGGGGCGTTACAAAGGCATAATTTTAGGGCATATTATCTCATCTAGGGGGATTGAAGTTGATAAAGCTAAAATAGATCTTGTACATTCCTTACCACCTCCCACTTGTGTGAGAGAGGTATGTTCTTTTCTTGGACATGCAGGATTTTATAGGAGATTTACCAAGGATTTCTCCAAGATCCAGTTGATGTGCGATGCAAGCAATTATGCCATTGGAGTTGTGTTAGGACAACGAGTTGGAAAGTTACAACACGTCATTTATTATGCTTCAAGAACATTGAATGACGCTCAACTTAACTACTCCACAACTAAGAAATAACTTTTGGTGGTTATTTTTGCATTAGAAAAGTTTCGTTCCTATTTAATTGGCATTAAAGTTACTATTTTTCTAACCATGCAACTCTTAGGTATTTGCTTACAAAGAAGAAGGCTAAACCAAGCCTTATAAGGTGGATTCTATTGCTACAAGAGTTCAACCTAACAATCAAAGACAAAAGAGGGAGTGACAACATTGTAGTAGACTATTTAAGTAGGTTAATAAACCAAGAAGATGCTCTTCCATTGAAAGATGATTTTCCAAATGAACAATTACTTGCGATCACATCCTCGAGACCATGGTATGCAGATATAGTAAATTACATAGAGGCCAAGAGAACCCCACCTAACATGTCGTGTGTTATCAAGGACAAACTGAAGAAGATCGCCAAGCAATACGTGTGGGATGATCCATATCTTTGGAAATATTGCCCCAACCAAATCATAAGAAGGTACGTTTTCGTAAGTGAATTTAATTCAATTTTAACTTTTTGCCATTCCTATGCATGTGGAGGACATTTCGGAGCAAAAAGGAAAGCTCTCAAGGTTCTTGAGATTGGATTCTATTAGCCTACACTCTTTAAAGACGCATATTGTTTTTGCAAAACATGTGATAGGTGTCTACGCTCAGGTAATTTAGGCTCGAGAAATCAAATGCCCCAAAATCTGATTTTATTTGTTGAGATTTTTTATGTATGGGATATTGATTTCATGGGACCCTTTCCTTCTTCTTAAGGTTACTTTTATATCTTACTTGTTGTTGTTTATATGTCTAAATGGGTAGAAGCAAAGGCCACCCGGACTAATGATTCTAAAGTTGTTGTAGATTTTGTAAAATCTAACATTTTTGCAAGGTTTGGAACACCTAGAGCCATAATTAGTGATAGGGGCACTCATTTTTGCAACTGTACATTTTGGGCTACCTTGAAGAAATAAAATGCTACCCACAAGATCTCAATGCCATACCACCCACAAACGAGTGGACAAGCCAAAGTCTCTAATCAGGAAATCAAGTCCATTTTGGAGAAGACTGTGAATCCAAATAGGAAAGATTGGAGCTTGTGACTTGACAACGCATTGTGGGTGTACAGGAAAGCATATAAGACACCAATTGGAATGTCCCCATTCTGAATGGTTTATGGTAAACCATGTCACCTTCTCGTTGAATTAGAGCATAGAGCCTATTGGGCACTTAAGCAATGCAATATGAAATTAGATGTAGCGGGAGAACAACATAAATTGCTATTGAATGAACTTGAGGAGATACAGAATGAAGCTTATGAAAGTTCAAGCATTTACAAGGACAAAACAAAGGCCTTCCATGATAGTATGATCCAGCAAAAGCATTTTAAAGCTGGAAAAAAAAGTTCTTCAATTCCATTCACGTCTTAAATTTTTCCCAGTAAGTTACATTCACGTTCGGTTGGTGCTTTTCTGATTTCTAATGTTTTTCCCACTGGTGCAGTGGAAATTAAGAGCATGAAGACCGGGAAAGACTTCAAGGTCAATGGCCATATTCTAAAGCCATACTACGAGCCATTCATGGAACAATTGGATGAAGTATCTCTCCATGAATCAATAGACATGGACAGTTAAGCAAAGAACAACGTCAGGCTAATGACGTTAAACAAAGTGATATATGGGAGTTTTCATTTTTTTTGAATGATTTTTGTTTAATACAGATTAATAGAGCAATGTTGTTGCATTTGTTGCTGCTGTATTAGTTTTTTTTTTTTTTTTTTTTTAGTTTTTAGTTTTTACATGTTTTAGGATTAAATTTTTTAGTTCTTCTGATTAATTTGTATGTCAATGATATGATTATAATTGTGATAACATGTAATGTTTAGAAGATGTTAAATGTTGCTTAGGTTTAAGGGTAATTTTGAATAATTAGTTTCATCTAGTTTGAGATTCTCATGCTATGTGGTATGATTTGGTTGGTTAGTCTTAAGGCTTAGTGATGTTTGTTATGTATGAATTTTCATAGACATTTTTGCGATCTCAACACATTCTAGAACTCACTTGATAACTACTTGAGGCGAAATCCTAGAATGCACATTACTTAGGATATGATTTAGGCTATCTTTGGATCGTTTGAGCGTTTCAAGCCAACCCTTTATTTAAATTATTGCTTGCTACCCATTTTAGCCATTATTAAACACATTTAGCCTTGATTTTCTTTCAAGTAACCTACATTAACCCACCATTATTTTGGGCCAAAAACATATTCCTACCCTTTTATTTTTAAGAGACTTAATCTAAGTACAAGATTAGTGAGAGCAATTAAAGAAGTGAGGATGAAATTTTGTAGAAGTTGTCAATTTATTCCAAATGTGCTCAAAAGAATAGGTTAGGGGTTGTGGAGTGCTTTTTAATCAAGGGGTGGGGTAGCATTTTTAGCTTTCTTTTCTAGCTTCTGAAAAAAAAAATTGAAAAAAAAAAAAAAAAGAGAGAAGAAGAAAAGAAAGAAAGAAAGAAAAGAAAGAAAAAGTATTGAGAAACATCGCAAGGTGTAAATGATGCAATAAAATTATTTTTGATGAAGGGTGGAAAATGTTGGGTGTAAAGAAGAATGATGGTGCGTGAATGGAAGTGTTTGAAAGAAATAGGATCGAGTCTCTTATTTTTGCTTATATTTTCCATTCTTTCATAACCTCATAACCTAGCCTAACATTACAAGCTTAATAAAGATCTATTGATCTGAGGTAGTGTGATCATTCTACATTAGTGGAGAGTATTTTGAAAAGTTAGCCTAAGGAATTTGATTATGTACATTATGTTATATTTTTTAAATTTTGAGATCAATTCTTTGTTTGTGAAGTTTTGTGCATGTGATCATCCGGGTTTTGAGATTAACAGGTTTGTGGAATGATTAATGTGTGAGAGTTGATAATGAAAATGAAACTGATTTTTGAGTTACCTTTGGGCTTGGTTGATGTTTAACTATTCTTTATGTTATGTGTTGTATGCAATTTTTGAGATGGATGTTTATCCGGAGACTAATGTTTTGTTTGTTTGTTTTTAATTTTCAAGTCTAGGCTAGGTTTAGTATGGATGTTTGTGAGTATCATCGCTGGAAACCCTCACAAGACTACAACTAGTGGTTTAAAGGCTTGTTGCATACGCTAAATGCAACCGTGACAATCTACAAAAGCGATTTGGGGTAGATTAGATTTATGTTTATTTTATTTTAATTTTCAAGCTAGAAGACATATTTTTATCGCTTAGCTTGCTAGGGACTAGCAAGCAGTTGGTTGGGAGTTGTGATAAGTGCTTGAAAATAAACTTATAGTTAGTGGTTTATAGATATCATTTGTGGGAAATTAGGACTAATTCGCATGAAATAACTTAATTGTTTCATAAATGCACTTTTTGGGATCACAGGTATTTTTGTTGTGTTTTCAGGGAATAAGGCTTTAAAATAATATTCGGATGAGAGATGATATTGGCAAGAGAATTTGTCACAACTGGAAACAAATGGATCGAGAATCGGAGTTGAATTGAAGAAGTTATGGCGCTTTGAAGTAAAGAGGAAATTCTAGATTACGCTCCAGTTTGAGCATGTCTCAGTGTTTCGACAATAACTTGAGCTGTAGATATTTTATTGAGATGATTCATGAACCGTTGGAAAGATGATTCCAAGACTAAATTTCATTTGTTTAAAACTTTGCCATATTTCATCGTTATTGTGCTAAAAAGTCACTATCTCTGGAGTGCTGAAGAATGATGCAAGGTTAGAAGAGGAATTGGACCATGCCCTAGCACTGTGGCGCAGCACACTTAGTCTAGAACCAACCATGGCGTAGCACACTTTGTCCAGAATCAACCATGTGGGGCACTGTCACGACAGTTGGAAATTTTTCTTCTATTTTTGATAGGAAAATAGGGTTCAAGAGTCCTAAACTAACTAGAATTAAGGAAAACAAAACCCTAACCTTGTGGGATATAAATGTAATAACTGTTGTATACTAATAAAATACATGTACAATAATAAAAGTAAATGAGCCCAAAACTTTTCTTGTGTTATGTATATACATTCTTTGTACAAAAGAGTATCATTTACAAAATGCCATTCAAAACAGGGGATAGTGCGACTATTGCTCCTCGCTTGCCGACGCCCAACCGACTGCAACATCACCTAGATCCTGCAACCACAAAGGAAAAATAACGGGGTGAGCACAAAATAATGCTTAGTAAGTAAGCCTCTACTTGTCTATCCCTGTAACTATGTCTCTTAATTCTTTCCTTACACTATTTCTGTTTCT